AAAAAAAAAAAAAAAAAAAGTCAAACACACAAAAGATAAAATAAAAATATACACGAGTTTTCTACCGCAATGAAAACGACAACACCTAGATCTTATGTGCCCTAACTTACCGCAATGAAAACATGTAGAGATAAAATTAGGACCAAAGTTATGAGATCGTTGAGATCTTACATATCCCTATTATTAGGTTCATTGTTAGGCGCATAGTTAAGCTGGTCAATACTAGGGACAGACGTGATCTTGGACGTACTATCAACATTATGATCTTTCTCCTTATATCCTAGACCTCCTTTATTACCAGTAGGCTTGTCCATTCCCAGAATATTATCTAGCTTCATAGAACCACTAGAAAAGGCAAGAAGTTGAGACTTGAAATGCTCTACATTGCTTAGAAGTTTTTTAACCTAGATTTCTAAGGTTTCCTTTTCAACGGTCAGCCCACTAACTCTCCTAGAAATCTTCTTAAGATCACTTGTGAGATTCTTGACCTGAGTATCTAAGAATTCATTCATGGATTTCAACTCACTCAGGGTAGAGGTAGATTCCTGAATGTATGCTAATTGCTTTTCTTTCTCTGATTCAAGTTCCATGACTTTTGTACTTAAGATTTTATTTTTAGTTAGAATCTTAATGCTCTCCTCATAGATTCTATCTTAAGGCTCATGAATATCTCCCTCACTATCAGTATCTTCTTCTGAATTCTCACCACTACTTATGCTTCTAGCTTTCACTCCCCTTATCAGATCCATTCCTAAATCTAGCAGTAAATGCAATATATTTTCCATTTTCTTCACGAGTGGATTTCTCACTCCGATTGTCCAAGAATACTTGTCATTAGTAACAGTAGCATTTATAGCCTTATCAAAATTTCTCCTACTGCTAGGGTATTCACTCCTAACGTGCCCAAAACATCTACAATTATGACATCTCACAGTTTTAGAACTCTTCCTAGACCCACTAGGTCTACTTCTATGCTTCTTTTGAGGTTTTTGTTTATTCCTAAATATTTTTCGAATTTTTTTACCAAAGTGTGCTAACTCCTCTTTATTAGGAGAATCCGAATTCGAAAACTCTATGATTATTCCTCAAAGTATTTAAGGCCAATTACTTATCGTTTGTGGGTTTAGCTAATGTCAACTCATAAGTTTGGAGAGATCCAACCAGCTCTTCCACCTTAATAGAGTTTATATCCTTACTCTCCTCAATAACAGTGATTTTAGGCCTAAATTACTCGGGTAAGGATTTAAGGATTTTTTTAACAATATTTGACACTAGGTATTTTCTTATCTAGGTTGAAACTAGAATTCACTATATTGTTTAAGCTCGCATAAAAATCATCAAAACTTTCATTTTCCTTCAATCGAATTTCTTCAAACCTAGTGGTCAACATATGCAATTTAGAGTTCTTAACAGCCTTAGTTCTTTCATGTGTGGTCTGTAGAATATCCCAAACCTCTTTGGCTACCTCACACATTGACACTCGCCTAAACTCTTTTGGGAAAACTGCCATGAATAGGGCATGTAAGGCTTTGCTATTGCAGTTACACTCATTTAAGTTCACTCTAGTCCAATTATCAATGAAAGTGGAAATTACTTCATTATTAACCGTAGAACTAGGTGCAACCCAACCATTCACAACACTTAGCCAGATACGCTCATCCATAGATTTTTAAAAAGCTCATATTCTAACCTTCCATTAGGCATAATTCTTGCTATCAAAATATGGCAGGACGAATAATGTATCATTCATCTAGAAATCTAACGCCAGGATTCGAATTTAGGCTCTGATACCGATTGAAAAAATCGGGTGTCACATTGGATATCACTTAACAGTTCACAGATTACCATTTTAATGGCTTTTAAGTTACTAAATGGTTATTACTTATCCCTTTTTAGTTTTAACCCTATATGCAGAATTAATCAATCAAAAGTAACAAGTCATTTTTAATTATTTTTAGAGGATTAAGCATACAAGTCTAATTATCCTATGTTTGAATACCGTAATAATAAAAAAACAATAATAAACACCGATTTGATGACAGAGAAACCCCAATTGGGT